CCACCACCATCACCACCACCACTGAAGGTCCTTCTGACTCTCCCGACCTATCCTGCCCACATTGTCCCCGCACATCCAACTCACATATCGGTCTGGTCGGTCAGTTGCGAATCCATCGCACAGAGACTGGCGAACCAGTGCCTGAAGCACCAACCTATACTCGCCGCATTCGCCTCCACTGTCCACACTGCTCTCGCACATTCAGCCGCCACTTGGGCCTACTAGGCCATACGTGAAATCACTAAAACATGTAGTAAGTCACCTCCAGCTATACCACACCATCACGTCTTTCCCTACCAGCTCTTTCAATGCACTCAACGTCACCCATCACTAAAGAACTCAAGCACACAAATGGCGCTTCTTACGTAAGTTGGGAATGTGCTTCTCGGCTCCTTCTCCGTGTGGCTCCTCTGCTGCCTGTGTGATCCGAGCCTGAGGCTATCATGGTGCGCCAAACACGGTGTAGTTGAAAATTGCCAACGGGCGGTAAACCTTGAACTCGCGGCCGACTTATTATGTGTTTGTGCGGAATGGCGGGCTGGTGGACTGAAAGTTAGGCTGCAATTACTCCATCTTAACGGAATTTCTGGCACTCTCACGCATGGGAAATGTATGCCGCCGACCCTGTCTTGTGCAAAATCCTGGTTCTCGTGTCTGGGGGGCCAGGCCGTGCAGGTGACGCGCAGGCAAGGTTACTAGACCGTGTCAGCCACCGCGCCCATTCCCAGCCCCAGTCGACTGACCGGCTCGGACAGTGGTTGAGGCTTGGAATGGGAAGGGAGAGTGAACTCAACGACTCAGCGCATTTTTCACTATAACAATCCGACGCACTTGAAGCTATCAAAGAGCGCTAATGGCCCTAGCTTGGAAGGTTGACAACTGACAGGAAATTTGGATCTGGCAGTCGGCTCAGTTGCGTGTTTGCATGGGATGGCCGACTGGGGGTCTGAGAGTCAGGCTGCAACGGCTGCTATTTAGTGTGGCCTCTACGACACACCCACATAGTGGGATCCAAGCCGGATGTGGCGGTACGCCTAGGGCCAGCTCCGGCCGCACCAGCGACATGCGCCCGCTCTCACTCCCAACCTTCTTGACTATGTCTTGATGTCGGGCCCAGGTGGCGGAGGAGGCGAGAGTGCAGTAGATGTCGCGCAAGTCAACTCTCATTATAAACTTATTCACACGCAAGTCACCGTGCCTGCTTTTATCTTGATGTGGAGCATGCGGTAGACATCGTCGGTGAAACCGGTTGAACTGTCGTTATGTCCTGCGTGGCAAGTTGTTGGTCAGCTCACCCACAGCGTAACAGGATATGGCTGGGTGCGGAAACATTACTCTCGATGTCCTCAACAGCGAATTGTCGCACTTCAGTCTTTTCTGAGACACCGTACATATTTGCCATTTTGCTGAGTATCAAGCCGTTTGTTGTACACGAAGTTGTTGCGAGAGTTCTAGACTCACACTGTAACGCAAGGATACGACCAGTCAGGATGTGTACGCTGAACAAAGTCGTTAATCATAAATGCCGTAGCTGTAACTGTCCTTTTCCTACAAGAAAACACTTTCGCATATCCCAGAGGTCGACGGGAAGATAAAATGCAAACGATAAACACTGGGCAGTGGATACATATTTTGTTTGTGAAATCTGTATTGCATCACTGAGCACTGTCTCTCCGTCTAATACTGAGGTCCAGGGGCAACCAGGTGTCGTCGAGATCAGTGCTGCCGGTGTCACCCGAAGGCGAACCCCCATTGTTAGTTCCGCATCCAGGCATATGCGTTGTCATGTTGGCTAGAGGGCCGTCCATGGCGTAGAGGTTTGGTTGGTTCTCTGGTGAAAATGGGAATCCTAGAAGGCCGGTCGAATGCTTTGTCGTGAGTTTGAATATCCCATAGTCCCGCATCCGACTAGCGAGTGGTCCATTTCTGCAGGACTGTCGTTTGTTGCAAAACCAAACACGTATCACCTCCCGGTCGTAGTTGAGTTGTTGGGCCAGTTGAGATATTCTCAAGCATATAAGAAGGAAACGGAAAATCAATCACGAAAATCTCCCTATTATTCCATAAGTCAGGTTGCGCGGGATTGGTTTCAAAAGATTGACAGTGAAGGACAGGGAACCTTATAGATCACAGCTCAAGTTCTGCCTCGTTTAAACTTGTAGAACAAAAATTACACTGCGTGACAATGACATTTTTGAAATATTGTTTATGAAACGAGAACTAGCGATCAGCTAGAGTAAATTGCCTTATTAGTAATTCTTTAAATCCCTAGCAGAGTCATGTTTCTGGAGCTGTTTTGCAGAGTTGCTTCGCATTTTTGTCCCTTTGTTATCATTGCTTCATATTGTGTAAGGTATTCTTGTCTGCTATTTATAGCGAATTCGAACTCGCAACAATACGTCCACATACTTCATTGACGTCAGAACGGAGATGCTGAGTCTTCGGTAGAAGTAAGTTTGCAAAGTTGTCTGAGCGAGGACATATGTCTCAGAGACATGGAATGAATCAAGCAGTAAGCTTTTCATTCGAATACCCCGTACTCCGCAAGGAGGGTAAACCAGGTGTGTCACTGAGCCTTGTGTGTCTCCTTTCGTAAATTTCCGCCTCGTGTAAAGTATGAGGCATAGATAGACTTCCGTTAGATATGCGGATAACTAACTGACTGTGGCAACCGTTTTTGGACTTCCACACAGAGTAAAAAGAGGAATTTGCATTGTTCGATTTTGGTGCAAGCATGCATTGCTGAAGTAGCCCATAAGATTAAATTTGTCGGGTTGTACTGATCTGGCTACTTTCGTCTGTCGTCAAAAATGCCATTTTTATGCGGTGGTTCAAGCCGTCATTTGAAGACGTTACAACATTACCGCCTTTATAATAAAAGTTTCGTAGAGATGTTTAGTACCTGATGGATGCGTGTTGGTGGCGAATTCACAGTTAAGTCGTGCAAGTGCGTCGGTGGAAAAGTTGGTTCGACTCTTTCTTTTCCGAGTGACGGCGTCTTCCACGAAATTTTCTTCTAGACCGGGCGTTTGCTCCGGACATTTTTTACCTTCCAGCTCGGCCAGCCAGCGCTCAAGTACGGGCTTAATTCGTTGAGCTGATTTGGGCGTTATGTCCAGTTTTTCAAATCTATGGAAAATAGAAAATGTTAATTATGAGTCAACGTAAAATTGCCAGACCAGTCCTCCCCATGGTCTATTTGGACTCACCAAAATAAAATCACTTTTGATCGAGTTTCAGAAGAAATAAGTTTATTGGGGCACCGAATAGACGTAAGGGAAGTTTTGGAGACATAATAACTGTACTATTCTCTTTGCACTTAACAACTCGGATGGATGCTAGCTGCTGTTAACAGTCAAAAGCGTCATCAGCGGCCGCATGTTGGCTTACGTCTAAAATATTTCTAGTGAAGAGGCATGAATTCATCGCAAAAGACTTGGTATACCCAGATTTAATGCGCAATTTCCACAACCCTGATCTATCCATACCAAAAGGTTGACTGTACACGACGAATTCGGGGAAAGTAGGATACCTGCAACCCAGACAATCCTATGTCAGAAAGCCCTAATGAAACGGAGAAAGGACCATGTGGCACCATATCGAGTAGTAATGCTGTCTGGACTGGAGGAAAGGAGTTTGAACTGTTTAACCTGTAGTCACTTACCTCGCTAAAGTCGCCGGCTGCCTTATTACTTTCTTCTGACGGCAGTTATCCGGATGCCTCTTTCTATGTATTAATTGAACAATGTTCAACTTTATGCCCTATGTATGTGACCTACAACTTCCTAGGAAGTGCGCATGTTCGCTTGTCTCTCTGCCATTATCTTCCATCTCAGGCTGAGTCTACGAGAGGTAGATAAATTAGATTCATACATAACATTTTTTGGTTCATTTACACCTTTTTCACCCGGCTATACTCTGGCACTGACTGAATGCTGGTCTCGAATGACGCTGTTCTGTATCGTTTTCACTAGTCGATAAAAGGCTCTGCGTTAACGTCTACCACTGTGCGGTTGCATATATTGATCCTAGTAGATATATCGGAAGAAAGCAGTGATTAATTTCCATCTGTGGCCCCAGCTGCCTTGTTTTCGTTTGTACCCATCCGATATGTTTGCTTGGGAATTCTCTACTCATGTGGGCGGTTGCCTGTCTGTTATGTCTATCCCTCCAGCGACGGTGTTGACTTGTACAAAATGTCAATAATACTAGTAAGTGTCCACCCCGGCATAGGCAAGCGTCTCGCATATTCTGCACCATTCTTATTCAGGATAAAATCCTTTTTCTGTTACTTAGGTTACACGAGTCCCTCGGACAGCAGCGCCACAAAAATTGCACAAACACTAAGTGGCTAAAATATAGAAACATCGACTGAAGTTCCGAGAAATATAGTTTAACCTAACAAGGATTACTCAAGTGGAGTTTAAGTACTGACGACTTGTAATTTAGTTTGCCGATATTTCATAAGCGTCGGGAAACTGCCATAGGTAGCTGTCCAGCCACTTGTGCAGTCACCCTCGTCAAATGTGGCTATTTATATGTTGCAAGCTTTTCGCATTTTTTCGATGCTTGTATAAATGAAGCCATATTTTGTTCGATATGAAAACATTAATTTTGGTCTTCACTTCTGGGAAAAAAGTCCTATTGCATGTTTGAAGGAATAGTCCGTCGGTTTTTAAAAGATTTTGTATAAGAAGGTTTTATTTAAGTATCATGGTATATCTACAGTCCTTAACGGTAATTTGGAGTATACAACATTATACCCGTTTGTTGCAAACTTATATGGGCCATATCTGACTCCTTACTAGCGACACAAATAGAAACATGCTTTTACTGAAATGCTAAACACACAGCGTATAACCTGAAAACCCCAAGCCTAACTCTAACGACGGTCTGCGTCCAAAATAAGGAAATTGATAACCTTTTATTGAAATATGTAGACATAATTCTTTAAAAATATGACTGAGGAAGAAATAGTTTCTTGCAACAGACACACAGGAAAGGATTATTTCGTGCATACTTTCGAGGAAAGATGATTCAGTTCATACGAGCCTCGAAGATCAGTAGAAAAGTGCGTATGATGAAAGTGATAATTTTCAATGTCTGGGACCCCTGTGGTTGACTGAAGGCATCATTTCCAAAAAACGGCATCCTGGCGAGTATAAACCATTTGATGATTATTTTGCGTGCTAAACGGTACTACAACCTAATTTAAGTAGCCCTTTCAAACCTACGCCACTTTTTGTGATTTCTCTCTATGTCTGGTGATCTTCCATACTCACCATTGATGCATATTTTGAAAAAGAAGAAGACATTCCCAGATAAGCGCTAATTTGGTCCTTTTGTGGTGGATGTCGGAATCGATGAAGCATAGAATGTAATTCCTAGAAGGGACATCCAGTTTAAACATCAAGTAAATACGGCTTCATCGGACACATTGACTTGTTAATTCCGCATATAAGACTTTAGTACCCATACAGAACTTTCCCATGTCTCACTTAAGAGCATATATTTCTTCCATCCGTTTTAGAGGTTACAGCATGTTTTGTTAATTTCTTTGAAATCATGAACACAAGTCTCGCCTTTTACATCAGATTTTTGGGAAATTATTAATTATTCGGTCCTAGTGTTCGATGGTTTGGATAGTTCAGGTTTTACTTAACTTTTTATCCCTGCATGTCCTCAAGGAGTACCTCACGTTTTTGCCTGCTCCTAGTATTCCGGATTTCCTTGACATTAATGCTGACTGAGGTGCTTTCATGATAAGTGCACCTCAACTGAATGACAGTCAAAGTCTTTTTATCAACTGAATGTATCTTGGGACAGCTGACATGGTTCAAGTATTGGGTCGGTGAGTCTTCTGAAATTATAAAAACCGCAAATAACAAACATTAATGAATTTTCTCGAACATGGGTATCTTTTCTTGAGTGTTAAGTCACCGAAAAAGGCCAGTTCTTGCATGCGCATAAATAAATTCACGATTACCTTCAGTTGGGGTCGTCTGGGTGGCTGTTTATGGTGAAATAATGTATCCACTTGAGGCATGGTGCATGGGTTGTGCAACTTGCCGCCAGTAGATGTATTGTGTTACGTTTTTGGATTAAAAGAGGCAAAGATTACACGATGATTATGTCTAAAATACTGGGTCTATTAAACTATTTCGTCCACTCCGTATACGGCGAGGAGAATACTACATTAAGCCTTGCGTGCGCCCAGCTGAAAATTTCCGAAAACGACATGAATGTGACATCTTGATCTGCATACTTGTCCTGGATTTGACTGTCGGCTGGCGAAATTCGGTAGGGCTAATAAGGCATCGTCAACGGATTTGGCTGATCAAAGTTAGGGCACATGCAGTGTGTCCAGAATGTTTACTCCTTGGTTGTGAATCTCTGTAATAGTTACTTAATGGCGGACAGAAATTACCATTCCAATATATATATATGTATATGTGCATTATTAACGGAAACAGTATGCATTCCGAGATTATATAATAAGAGCAGAAGGCTCGCTGATGACCCAACGAAAGAGCAGGCCGCAGTTGTAAAGGAGGTGGATGAACTCGCTCGACTAAAACTGATATATCCCAACGATTCCAGATCCATGACTCTCAGTGACTCCCGTATCGCACATGTGCCCTCCAAAAGTGCGCAAACCAGATGCACCATTGAGGATAATAGTGTCACTCATTGGGTCGCCCACTTAAAACCTAGCCAAATGGTTATACAAGCATCTGAAGCACCTCGTCGATGGATCACAATACAGCATCACAAACCCTCAGACATTCCTTAAAAAGCACCAAGGTCTTAAAATAAGTCCCGATGAAAGCATTCTATCATTTGATGTAGTCGCCTTGCTTTCCTCAATACCACATGACCTTGCCATTGGGAGCAGTGTCCGACGCCTGCAAGACAATCCCATTGACCTGTCTCAGCAGCTATTGCCAATTCGATGGCGAGTATTACCAACAGGTTAAGGGCATTCAAATGGGATTGAAAATTTCGGGGTACCTCACAAAACTAATCTTACAACGACCAGAGGAGGATGTTATACAAAGTCTTCGACCAAAATGTGGCTCAGGTAGGTGGACAAAACATTCGTTATCGTAAAAACCTGTGAAGTTGAGCGATTTCACCAGAGCCTGAATGGCACCTTTCCAGCCCTCCATTTTACCCGTCAAGAAGCAAAAGGAAGCACCCTCCCATTCCTATACGTAAATATACAAAGGCGCAATAACAGTGGCCTCATAACAAACGTTCATAGGAAAGGCTCTAACGCTGAAATCATCCTTAACTATCGGAGTAACCACTCAGTTGCCCATAAAAGGAGCTGTGTTCAGACGCTTTCCACCGAGCCTATCGTTGCCGCAATAGCGAGTATTTACTCAAGAAAGGACTGGCTTATTTGTATCGGTTCTTCCGACTCAACCAATACCCGGCGAGATTTGCGAAAAACTGTCTCAGACGCCAGAGACAACTACAAAGCATCGACTCTAACGGAGAGAGGGTGTCGCGGAAATTCTACTCCCTGCCCTATATGCCAAGAATTTCCGCAGCGGTCACTCGAAAATTAAATCAGTACGGCATCTCCATCGCCCACAAACCGGCGTCTTCACTGCGCACAGCATTATCCCGAGCAAAGTACCCCATACAGAAGGAGTAGCAGACAAATGCCATTTGCCGCATTCCATGTGCGAACTGCTCTTGCGTTTATGTTTGGCATACCGGCCGACGACTTGGGACCCGCAGTAACGAACATAAGTTGGTCATCCACCGGCGGGACCCGTTGTCTCTCGTGTTTGCGCACGCCCTTAAGTGTGATCACCTTTTCAAATGGGAGAGGACTGAAGTGATCGCCAGTGCCAACACCAAACGGGCGCGAGAGTTTCTCGAAGCTTGGCACTCTAACAACAACAGCACCAACCGCCATGTCGACCTGGACGCTCACTACGAAGGTTTGCGTTCACGGCTCCCTGACTTGCGTCCATCCTAAGACGCCAGCTGCTAGTCCATGTTCAGCCGTATAAAATACCACCGATTCGACACCTCCCCGACAGAGTGAACCGCAGCTGAAACTCTCAACATCTCCCCTACTTTTTGGCGCCTATAAGAACACACTATCCACTCCCCTCACATGCACGTCTGTTTTGTCGATGTAACCTCGATGTTCCTCCCCGCTCTCCAGCACGGTTAACCCCCTCCATATTATTCATTTCGCCTGACGACGAGTTGATGTGACCGACTTGAAAATTCACGAGTACATCTCGATTTTCCGACGTGCCTTCTGTTTTTATTACATCATCTCGGAATGTATATTAGCTTCGATATTCATCAATTTTTTGGATGTCATGCGCTTATTATTACCAGGCGCTGGGAGAAATTCCCCCAGAGACAGGCGGCGTCTTCCGAGCAGTTGACTTTCCTTCACTGCTGTGGCGATCATGGCATCCTACCTAAGTCTCTTCGCTTTAAGCCCACTCTACCGAACGAGACTGGAAGACTACTCGCACGCAAATACGGATTCCGAGTTTTGAATGCTATTATATTAGACGTACACCATCGGCTTTCCAGATTTGAGACAACAATATCCGGCCTTGGAAGACAGTGCCTTTCATCATTTGCCTGGAGAGACCTTCGAAATCGCACTACAAAGAATAAACGCTACCACGAAAACGCCAGAATGAAGAAGCGAGCCGAGTTGAGAGAAAAACTGCAATCTCTTCTTCGTCCTACTAACGAGTGCAACGTGTCTGCGAGAGTTGTTAACCTATCGAAAAGGAGTCCAACACTCACCGAAATGAGACTACTATCTAAAGGACTTAAATTCAATCATACCGATGCTGTGCCTGCAAACTACCTAGCAAGTCCTGAATCCGTCCTACTGACTTCTGCTAGCCCTAAAGACATGCGTGCGGACATATGCAGTTGTGCCAGTGGTCTTTTTTGACAAAGGAAAGACATTTGCTCAGGTTCAGAGACAACACTTTTCGACATAGGTGTCCGTTGAGGATTTTCCTAAAAATCCTTTGAAGCCGTTAGAGATAAAATTTTGATAATAAGGTAGACGACTGCCTATGATCTTAGGATGTAATGTATCTCAGCCTAACCTACTCGTCTTCATATTGGCTTGCCTTTCGGTGGGACATGGGAACAGGAGCCCCCGTACTAAGGCAGCCTTGCGCTCAATTCCAAAAATGGTACTTATTCTCGTGTCTTAACCCCAACCGTAACTCTAGTTCCCGGGATTATGAGGGGATTCCTAGTCTCATGTCCTACTTGCTTTTTTATTAGGACCATCTATTCATTCAAACGTACTCATGCGCCCTAACCACGACAAGGTAATCTCATACCTGGTTGGCGATCAGCCTCGTCTACCTCCAGAACAAGTTCTAAAACGGCAGCGAACTACGAGAACAGAGACTGTAGGGCAAGACTCTCAACAAGCAATTGTGGCAACTGAATATCTGGTGCTGGGCAACTGACTTACCTGCAGATCGCGCTCTGACTGTAGGCCGGTCCATCTGCGGCAGTCAAGGCTCTACCGATTTGAGTTTGCGTCAGACCCAGACTGAGGCGTTTCATTTTGAAGGCCCGTGCGAAGCGGCGAATGTCCTCAATATGTTCATTCGTGTCTTGAGAGGAAGCACTGATTTTCTTTCGTTTCTTTTCTGCCGTCGGGTCCCGTCGAGTTCCATATTTTTGGCGCTTTTCGGAGGAAGCCCTGTTGTCCACTCTCTCTTCTTTCGTTTCACAATGAACGGCTTTAGGGGGAGGGGGGAGGGGGAAGAGGTGCAGTGCAGATTTTTTCAGTCTGCTTTATAAACATGTTAGAACACATTACATGAATGCAAGGCAGCGTATCGGGAATTGGGCTTTTATAATATTGGGTCGGCTCTTTGTCAGATTTTAAACTTGCTTATTTGCTTATGTAGAATGTAAAATGATCAGAGAAATTATTGCATACACCAGTCGAACTATGAACGGCATGCCTTATGAACATAGGAAATAGCTCCACCTTAATTTCGGGGCAGATACTAAATAAATTGCGACAGGATTTTAAGGTACCATTTGCGACGTGTTTTGCCACAAGCCTCATGGGGACTGTTAGGAGAAATGCTGTTGAATAAGGCGCCTTATTTGCATAAGGTAAGGATAAAAAATCGGCTTAAGGTTTATGGGACATCTAGGTAGTTCCTGTATTTCTTAGGTTAGGACACTTGTGTATATGTGATGTGTTACGAATGCCCAAATCAATCTCTTTGCTACTCTTTCTCTATTACTAATCTAAAGTTTTGTTTGTAGTCAAGGCCATCAGACAAATTTTTACTTTTTTGTACTTTATTCTGATTCCAGGATGTACTCATTTATATGGGGAATGATGTCCGTTAAGTTTCATAACTTGAGGATTTTTATATTCCGGTGAAAAACGCTTAACCCCAAACCACTTTCGGGCAGATAACTTACCTTAATGTCACATGCTTTAAAGCCGCGCACTCAAGTACACATCGGTAGAGTATGTGCTTGCTGACCAAAGCCCAAAACACAAGAACAATGTAAAAGCATGATTTCCCTACCAGTGTTGATTTGGTGTCTTTAAAACTGCGTATAAAGTATTTCGAAGAACTTTCACTGGAAAAAGTAGGGTATCGCCTACAGCGTTTTTTATGTTAGTGCAAGGTTAAATCGAGCAAAAGTGTGCTCTAAGTTACCTGCATAATTAATAGCAATAATAACGACTTAACATGTGCTGGCTCGAGTAAGATACAAGAGTAATTACATATTACATATAGTATATATCATAATATTATGTATTTCATGAACATTTGTTGACATCCTGAGAAAAGGTACATGCCATTTTTAATTCGTTTGTGAATTAGGAATTATCTGCATGTGTATCGCAACTGGTTACTCACCCGCTACAATCTAAAGGTCTGGAATGGCATGTCAAGATGCAAGACGCTGTTCGCAACGATGAGTTCCATCGATTCTGAAACAGCGCAATATTTCGGGTTGGGATTTTTAAATTTCCGCAAAATGAGCCTTTCCTACCCGAGCCATTTTATCTGCTTCATATGATAGTAAGCGAGATTTTGACCAATAAAATGCATAACGCAGCTCTACATAAGTTATTCAAACTAGATCCTCCCACGATAATAATTGTTACATTAAGTACTCAGAAGATATCGTTATCGCCTTCTAACAAGGTCATGCAAAGAAAATCATCTACTATTCAGGGTGAATTTCTCATTCACTGAGATTGTCAGATCACAACTGTTAAGAAACATATGCTCCACTTATGGTCAACCCGGAAATTTATGGGAAAATTGGCATGCACGACTCAGTTGACGACGGACGGAAAGCAGAGTTCACTTACGTCCACTTAAAAAAACTAGGTAAGAAGTAAGTATATGCGTAGGGTAAGTCAATACCAACTGTTTTTAACAAATTTGTCAATGTTTTGACCCTTCTGCTTTACTGACAAACGTATGCCTTCCACCTACGATTACTTTGAGTATCTTTTTGCTACCTACTGATCTGCGTGATAAATTTTTTCTTTAAATTGAGCTTTCTTACTAAATAATTACGTGTGAGTGTTCAGAACAACGAACTAATGTAGACATTGTAGCTGTACCGGCTCCTCAGGGCGATAGGGTCAGCGAATGTCATCCTGCCGACGAAGAGCCGACCAAAAACTCTGCAGAACAGCACCTTCTTTGAAAAATACAGAAGGCAGTCCCCCAAAGTAGGCTGGTGCATGTGAAATTTGAAATTTCCTCAGAAAACAGTGTGTAGATTTGGAGTAAAAAATTTGAGGCAAGCAAATGGGATTTGGTCTAAAGGTTTATGCAAACAACTGAACTGAAATACTTCGGCATTAGTGAAATAACCGCTGAACATTCGTGGTTCAGGATAGAAATATCCATTGATTTACCATACCCCAGCACTGGTACTAAAAAAACTCAGGCAGTGTTTCGCCGGCTTTGATGCCAGTGCATAACGCAACTGCGAGAAGTTTGGCTCATCAGTGGGCTTTACGGGAATCATCATTTGCTTTCTAATATATAACAACCCTGAGTTCTGATGTTTAGTTTCCATAGTTTTTCCAAGAATTGATTTGTGAACGGGAAATATGAAAGTCTTCGATAAAAAATTTCCAAACCCCCCAGTATAAAGAATCTCGCTGACACTTGCACACTTGTTCTGGGAAGCGTAAAATATGAACTAACGCTGGTGCTGGGGTACAGTGAGAAGATTTCTGCAGAATTTGCGCTAGCACCTATTTTTCAACCACATATTTGTATAATTGCTTTCCAGTCTTAGTCCTGATCGTAAGACATTCTGAGCTGACTGTCAATACTCTCTATTTTGCTTTGGTGAAGATAAACGGCTCGGAATATCCAAGTATTTAAAAAAGTGGATACAATTGGAGTATAGTTGGTGATGTATACTTCTAAAGGTTTTTATCTCTTGTTGCACTCTAATACCAGTTCAGTCATTGAACTTTGAGAAGTGTTTTTCAAAGACTGAGATTATTCATTAGGCGAAATCATTTGTTTGGCTTGCAAAAATTTCGTACGAACATGCTGCCTCGTGATAAAATCACTTGTTTTTGAGTATTTTAATGAAATTTTGCCCCAAGTTTGGCGGCATTCCAAAAATATTCGACAGACATTGCCGTCACATAAAAGGCACTTTTCTGAAACCAGTAATCAAGAACATTTGTCAACTATTCTCCTAAAAAGCTTCTGGATCAAGGTTATCAAACGAGAACACAAACCTGCTTGGTCTCCTTTTGCCAAAGAATGATCTGGGCTTATCATCTGTTGTTCGGAACCGGCGTCCATCACGCAGGAGTCTTCTTGACAGCTGCTAGAAAAGTCTGCATGTTGGTCTCTTTCAGCTTCTTGTTTTTGGCTGGAAACAAGAAATTGCATGTTCAGAGTCAGAAGCTGACTAGACAGTGATGCTGATTGTGGTGGTAGCAGGCAGTCTGGTGATATTTCGTCGTAGATGCTGGCGGCATTACTTGTAGGCGATGGGTCGGAGGAGTTGTGGGTGATGCCGCCTTCACTGCTGACGACATTTTTTAGATGGCTGAGGAAGACCTTGGAAAAACCCAGAGGTGCAAAGGTTGGCCAGCTATGGCCGTCCTGACTCTTTGTCGAGGACGAATCCACCAGGTCTGAGACGGACCAGAGGCTTCATTGAGGAAAATTTGGTAAACAACGTGCATTACTTTCATACTCTTAATTAGCCCTGCAAGACAGGACAGAGGGTTCATAGAGGCTTGGCACAGCTTTGCTTTTGGGCCTACTCTATGCTTTATGACATCTTTTAGTGTTCCTGGCGAACCTGGATGTCGTAATTCGAGCGTTTATTTTCTGATTGGTTAAATGTCCGAACCCTTTTTTCATCTTGTAATTCCAGACTTCGGCTTTTTGATGGATGAGGCTGCTCGGAGTATAGGTCGCATTCATCTAAGGTTTCTGGGATTGGTAATACCATCAGGAATGGCATATCAGAGAGCTAGTCTCTAGGACTTTTGTTATATGTACCTATACGACAGCCACTCTTATTAGGGAGATTTGGATCAAGAGGTTAATTTCAAGATCGAACAATATAAGCAAGTGTTACGACACTTTTCCTCAAAAAAGGACATTTTTAAAGGAAAAATATACTCTTGCATTCGGCTTTATGTTTATTAAAAGGTCGTTCAACCTTTCTCAGGAATAGATAATTCAGGCGCATACACTGAAAATTCGTCACAATTGATCTGTATGAGAGATTCACTCGTGAGAGCTCTATTTATTTTTAGCCCCGTGCCATCACGCCCATAACAGTGATTGATTTCAAGGGTAGTCCGCGGATACCCACCTATTTTTGAATAGTCGCTCCCTACTCTTGGCTCAGCCCCGAAGGCCGCCAATGATCGTTGAAATTGATGACTGACTTAATGTTTTACACTTCCTGTTTCATATATGGGTCTGAAGTTACGTTCAGGGGATACTGAATTGTCCAGTTTTCTCTCTTCCTTCTAGACATAGGTTAATCGTTTGAAATTTAGCGAATCCCTTGTAAACTGCGTTCTATCGTCTTTCACCTGATTAAATGCTTAGGACATTCCATTATTATCGTTATTTAATGATGACATCCAGGAAATGTTCAGTTGTGTTGGCTAAAACTGTTGGCTATTTAAGCTGACGCCTCATAGTCCGACAAACTTTAAACTAGAAGTCTGCAATATCAATGACAAAATTGCCTGGCAGCGAGTGTGGAATCAAATGACTTGTAAAGCATGTCTTTATGTGGCAATTTTATACTATCATGTAAACACTTCTTCCTCATAGTCTTAGCAAATACAAACGAAATGGCTTTGGTGACTTCTCTCGGCAAGTAACAATTCGCGTGCGCTTTTAGAAACTCTGAGACACCGTGTCCTTGCGGTCACACACACATATGGTTATTAAATTCAGCATAAATGTGAAATAAACAGGGTCCCAAAGTCCAGTTTCATGTTTAAAGCCTAACACGCCGATTGAACTGCAAAGCTTTCTCGTCAAATCGGGAATTTCAGTACATATTTCCTGATTCACCCTGCTAGGTAAAATGTACAAGGATTCAGTGAAATCATACAGACACCCCTAAATGGGCTGGTGAAAACTTGACACCTACCTCAATTGCTCTGCCATGATACCGACCGTCTTTTGATTCGCAACGACTTTGCAACCAAGCACATATATGCGTATATATATATGCATATGTTTTTGACGCTGTGTGTGTGCCTAGTTTGCCATGAGGGGAGGTGTCTCGTCCTCTCCACCACCTCGAAATTGCAAGAGACGGAGAATTTTCGCCCTCCCCAGCGTACAAGACTTGCGTGCAACCGACTCTCAAATGCTGTGGACTTGCGTGCACACGCCTGGGTGGGGTTAAATGTTTGCTCACCGCCAATAGCCAATGAAGGTTTAAAGTATGGGGGAGGATGCAATGATTATCTGTTGCGGGGGGAATCATTAAATTCATCCGACAGAGGCTGAACTACAGAAAAGCAGAAGACAGCGCGTAGTTTTACGCAGCTCACACTGCTGATGATGACCAGGAGTAGAGGTAGAAATGGGGGGACGAAAGCTCATTTGCCAGCCAGTAGGCTGATTCTGTGAAAGCCGTGGAACAGCTGGCTAACGGCCGCCGAATTACTTCTCCGTTGCGTGCGCGGAGACATAAAGTCGGGGAATTTGGATTAAATGTATACTTAGTGCGTATGATAAATGAGTCGGGCTAAGAAGGGAGATCGCATGACCCAGCGCACAGGCGAATATGCACGGCGAATATGCCATAGCCATGATTCGGAAAATACTGCAGTTACAGCCTTCTATCCTACAGGACTTGACAACCAGGATCGAGGGCTAATTTAAGTCACAGATACCGATGACCCTAACAAGATTATGATTCCGAAATAAATGGCTATTTTTCACGATTTGACTTGGTCTGCAGCCTAACCTGTGGGATATATAACAACATTTAGCGCGGTAGTCTAAATAATTGAACGACCGGTCCAACAGACGTTCTTTCTGGAAACCAGACTTAACGACTACACGGACTTTCCGAGCTCGCATGATGTCCAAGTATTCAGTGCATATCTAAAATCTAATAGTCAATACAGACTTATCTAGGAAAGAACCGCAAACTCTTATTTCAGCTTTTAATCTCCTCAAAAATCAATCACTAAATTGGAATAAATCAGTCTGAATTAAGCTTTATAGGGTCAATCCGAAGGCTGATACGAATATTTGAGCTAAAATATATGGGCTACAGGAGGATAACCGCGTAATACTCATAAACTACTAGGAGGCAGACAGTAGCATGCACACGTATGTTCTTACGTACGCCTAAACACGTGTCTCGCTGATATTCTGCCGCTGCATGACACATTTGTGAGGGGTTTAACCCATCAGTATAAATAAATAAATAATTCATTGATGTTTCGGCAGATTTTGAATAATTCATATTGACCCAACTGTGAAAAACTGGGCGCCTCGGTGGGATTCGAACCTACGCAGTAAGGGGAAGGCTTTAGCGCAGCCAACGCTCTAACCACCTGAGCTACGAGACCCCACCGGACGACGCGAGTTTAATCACATTTGGGTCAAGTTACCCGCCCAACCTACTGCAACGTCTGGAATCCACCAAATCTGATACAGTAAGTTGACTGCCCAAGCAGGATTTCCTAAGTAATTCACCTAGAATCCACCAGATGACTACCAGGCTCGCGTAATTCATTGATGTTTTGGCAGATTTTGAATAATTCCTATTGACCCAACTGTGAAAAACTCGGCGCCTCGGTGGGATTCGCGTCATCCGGCGGGGCCTCGTAGCTCAGGTGGTTTGAGCGTTGGCTGCGCTAAAGCCTTCCCCCTACTGCATGGGTTCGAATCCCACCGAGGCGCCGAGTTTTTCACAGTTGGGTCAATTTCGAATGTAAATTTCGAATGTAAATGTTTGCTCAGAGTTTAAAGTCAAGACAGATTCAGCATGATTCTACATGATGTACTACAAGTAAATGAACTAATACAATATGGAATAAAGTTTGATCTGATAACTCAGCGATCCATTTTTTGTAGCAGAACTGGTTCAACTTAAGCCAGTTTCGGAAAACACAAAAACGACATTTATCGAAACTACCAGCTGAGATTGATAGAAGCGACAGGCCCTGAAGGCCCCTATCCGATTCTGAACGTAGAGCCTCATAAGTTACAAATAAATTACCGTTTTGAGATTTTAACATGTGTTCTTACGATTTCTATACAGTTGGTAACACAGTAAGTACTAAATTCATGATAAATTCTTCCATATTGTTGTTCCGGTATCTTAATAATTTTATGCCTCAAGATTTTCCCTGTTTGCTTCTTCGCTGTCAGCCAGTTTTCGAGTATTATAACAGTCGACTTCCGACAGAACTAAGATCGCGAACTGGTCAGCAGACTGGAATTTTCTCCCGATGCCTGGGCACAACTGCTGACGCGTCAGCAAAAAAACCAGTTGGTTTTCCAGATTTCGACCACGTGAAAGTATCATGATATACATATATTTGCATCTTTTAACGACCAAGGAAGTTCTTCGGACTTAAGAGCGCATTTGACACCACTAATAAACGTTATTCGCGGTAGATTATAATAAAGCCAAGCGTTTTACCCCTGTTTCTTTTCAGATAATCTTCGACCGTCCGTCCTGTTTTACCATGCTAGGTAAACCTAACCACCAGTGATAATTTTTCTACGAAAAGAATGAAGAAGAAGGGGGCGACCACTGGGAGGATTGTTATACAGCAAAGTTTTCGAACAGAAAGTATGGCAATTCAGTGTCGGAGACTAAAGAGTCATGCGTGTAAATTGCTTTATAAAGCCTGTGGGTGTAAAAAATACCGAGATCGTCGCGCTTACTACCTGAAACTGTGTAGGCTGCATGTTGGTGGTTTAGATTTTGGTGAATCCAACGGTCTCCATCCTGGTACAGCTGGTGCGTCTCGTAGCTTCTTATGCAGCAGCGAGTATAGGCCGTGCAGGGGTCAAATACCGCTTCCAGATCTGGCCGGCGACTCTGGGAGATGCCTTATGAATGAATACCACAGGATACACAGTCCGCACATGTGACAAAATCCAAAGTGCTCAGTCTTCTCGATGATGCATGTATTCGCTCGCTCTCTCAACTAAGAGATAGTGATTTGCAATACCGAGTTAATGCCTTCTCAACTTTCTTTCCATAAAACTCTTGAATCTTCATTAAGAACCGAAACAACGCTTTTTCCGATATAAGCAGGGGGCGAGCGGCAGAAATTATAGAAAAGGATATAAAAACGGTAAGCAGGAGGAATAAGGGGGAAAGAGAGGAAGTAGTTGTTGATGCAGACGGCAGTGATGATGCGGACCTCGAGTTCTTGGTCAGAATGTTTCGAAATATACTGCAGATGTACTATCTCATGAAATGTTGACCGAAATTCTGAAATGCGTCTTAGATTCAGGAGGATTACTTAAGTTGGGTTGAAGTAGTACTTACCGCGCAGCGTAATCGCAGGAGATCTCAGTCACTTCAGAATGGTGGCTTTTGAACGAGCTTCTTTCGAGTACTCTGCAAAAACTGCACTCCGTGGAAAATGACCGCTTAGGTGGTATGTATCTTTTCTATTGATTCTCGACTCCCACATACATTTAATCATATTTAGTAGAAAGTAAGCGCCAAATGTTTTTCTTGTTTTCATTCAATAGCAAATCACTTTTTCTTTAAGAGTTTTACTCAAGGGCTTTAAGACGTTTATAATCAGGAGATTTTTCAAAGTCTTGCTATGTTTATTTAAATGGCATCGTACCTGCGCGTTTAATAATCGTTCTCAAGAAGTAGACGGCATAATTTTTATCCACCGCAGTTTTATGATTTATATATGGTATCTTCTTAATAGCATGAAGAATGTATAAGTTTCCTTATACAGAATGTACGCGAAACCAAGATCGGGTCCAAAATTATTTGTGAGTTGAAAATCTTTTTTTAAGCCTAAATAAACCCTTTCTTTGAACATAAAATCTGAGGAAGACATGAGCTGTTGCCAAGTGAGTACAAGAAAAAAATCCTTTTTTCGTATTTTCTATAAAATGCATTTGAGCTTAAGTGGGCAACGGAAACCAACAGAGAAATTCATACTAATTAAGCAGTCACCCTTTCCGGCTGCGACTTTTGCAGGCGGCCA